TTCATTGCTATCTATTCTGGTGTTGATATGATATACATTACAACACTTTCGCGAATGTAAGTCAAACTCCAATCTCTGTTCGATCGGTCGGTCGTGTGATGGATGAGCTCAAGTCACATGAGATAAATGCATAAAACCTGATCTCCTGTTGTTTGTCACTCACAAGTCCCACACTTTTTAATTTCACTCGCATTTAATTTTGTGTTTTATACACAAATTAAATTCTATCCAATTTATATAGTATTTTCATTTTATTGATTTATTTCAACACATATTTGAGGCATTTATTTGGATGTTTAATAACATATATTATAAAGTATTGGTCGTAAGTGGACGTGAGATGAGGTCCAATAAAACATTGAGTGCTATTACATCTCAAACTAATGCTGTTTTCTTTGAACAACACTTGTATTGACGCTTATTATACAAGCCTATTGTCTAATGACCCCCCTGTCCCCCCTGTCTAATGGGCCAATTGTTCACTAATGGTCAGCTTTGGCTCATCTCCTGCAGAGGAGTGCGACCAACACCACCACCACTACAGCCTGACCAGTAGGGGTCAAATTATCCCTTTCCTCTCTCACTCTCTCCAGCATTTTCGTTATCTCTTGTCATTATTGTTACCAGAAATTGGTTTTGTGTTTAAACTGTCGTTCATATCATTTATTTTTTGGTTAATCGTTAAACTTAACAATTCTATCCTTTTTATTAATGGTTTCAGTGGACGGCTGTTGAGAGTGCACTGGGAAACAGTGGATTGAGAGAGAAATTGAGTTATAAATAAAGTATAGTTAATAAATGAGAAGAAATATTTTGTTTTGAGTAAAAGTAAGAAGAGATGAGAAGTGATTGTAAATATAGTGCAATATATTTGCGATATTTTGGTTGTTATGAAACTCCAGTGGCGAATGCATACCAGTAGTGAATCGGTAGCCGATGTTGTGAGCAATGGTTAGGTTTGGTATTGTAGTGTTCAGTGTTGGCAGTGCTGTCAGTGCTGGGCATTGAGTAGATTTGTTATTTAGTATGTCTAATGTGAACGGTTGTGTCGTATTGTGTATGATGTCCACAGTTGGCCTTAGCCTGAGTCGAGTCCGGTTTATTTGACAGCATCGCTATAGTATGTCTCACATATACGCATGAATTGCATTCAAAACTTTCTATTATTATATTCCCGACCAAATCCAGGTGTGCGAGAATACGGCGCTCAGGAATTCGTCAACGGCTCTCATCCCCGATCCTTCCCCTCTTGTGTTCACACTTTTTCTCATTTCTCTTGTGAAGAGCAGGCAATTGCATAGCAGGGGTGCGATTCACTCCAATTTGGTCTCTCTCTCTCTCCCTCTCTCTCTCTCTCTCTCTCCAGTTCTTTGGTGATCCATAGGACAGAATGTTGAGTAGATGTGTTGTACTCAACTGTAAGAGTAATGCAGTGCTTGGGAACGCGACATTCAGATGACTGTCCCCTCTTTATAATCCCTATTCTTGAATGCATTATGAATTAATGCCTGTTATATACGATTGTGACCCTCTTATTCAGGAGCACATAAAGTACAGTAGATCTGCAATCTATTTACATCTCTGCTCCGCAGCTCCTGTACTGTACAGTACTGGCCGTCCAGTCCAGTAGTCCTCTACTTCTGTACTCTATTCCATAACAAGAGTAATACTCTTCTCTCGGCTTCTTTTGAGTGAAAAAAGAAAATTAAGTTCTTTTCCTATTCTTTAGTTGTGTTCAGTAGTCGTGTTATTAAGGAATACAACTTAAGAGACATTTTTTGTTGCCTTCAAAAGCATTTCTGTTGGTAACGACTGTACGCATCATTAAATGATGACTCAAATTATAGATTGCATTACCAGAAGAATATGTCATTCAATTTATTACTTAATTATTAACCATCAAATCGCATACAAAAACAATAATTATTGTAATTTGTTTTTCATTTATTTTGTCTTTCTTTTAATAAAAATTCATTTCGAAAATGTTTTACACTTTAATAAATGACTGATTTTAATGTCAGTCAATACATTCAAATACAATAGACTACAGAAACTCATTATTTTTATCGCACAACAGAATTGTAACTCAAACTCCACTCTCGAATGCGGCACAGAATCGGAGCACTCACTCAAGTACTGAACCACTGGAGCACTGGTAGCCTTAATTGGCAGTACACTCAAGAATTTGGTCACTATTTATCAGAGGTGGCAAACAGGCAGCGGGACAGCACCGGTACACAACCATCAACCTCTACGTTAACCCGATTTGTGAATTGTCTCATCTCTCACATCATTTTTCTTATGCCTTTACTTCCAATACAAACCAATGATACAAAACTTCCGTTCAATTGAGAAACTGTCAGAAAACACGGCATGAGTTCACGAATACCACACCTTTTCATTCACTATTTTACACAAATACCTACTCCTAGTGCCCAGTGCTTACTCTTTCCATTCATATTCTGGCCAAACCAGTCATACCCTGCGGCCATTCCTAACCAACACGACTGATACCCGATTTGTGAATTGTCTCATCTCTCACATCATTTTTCTTATGCCTTTACTTCCAATACAAACCAATGATACAAAACTTCCGTTCAATTGAGAAACTGTCAGAAAACACGGCATGAGTTCACGAAGTCGTAGCTCTAAATACCACACCTTTTCATTCACTATTTTACACAAATACCTACTCCTAGTGCCCAGTGCTTACTCTTTCCATTCATATTCTGGCCAAACCAGTCATACCCTGCGGCCATTCCTAACCAACACGACTGACCAATAAATCTTTTACTAATTTTTTAGTTACAAAGAACTCAAGGTTTCCTACATTTAATCCAAATGCTTAACATTCATAGTATGAGAGCGCAAACAGCAAACAATTTCTGCCAAATAGACCTGAGAGATGGACCTAATTGTTCCCAACAACCACTACAACCACTACAACCTCACACTCTATCATACATACAGATTGTAGAGTATATGAGACTCAAACTGGTTTACATTCATACGCTTTGGTCACCAACTATGCTCTCTTAGTAACCATTCAACACAATTTGGTTCAATATCACTGCAAATTTCTATCAATTTATTTAATAAAAACACAATTGTTTTTGAAAACTAATTACAGGTTAAACGAATTTATTCTCATTTCAGTTATAATGACAAAAAATGGGTAAACGAGTAATCGATCAAATTTTTTTTGCATAATTTTCCGCATTTGATTCTGACATAAATACAAATCCTTTACTCAAAACTGAGAAAAGCTTTTGTATGAGAAATAAAATTGAAAAAATTGATAGAAATTTGCAGTGATATTGAACCAAATTGTGTTGAATGGTTACTAAGAGAGCATAGTTGGTGACCAAAGCGTATGAATTTTAAATAAATTGATAGAAATTTGCAGTGATATTGAACCAAATTGTGTTGAATGGTTACTAAGAGAGCATTGTTGATGTCATTTGATTGGGAAAGTGAAGAGTCAAATGTGTTGGCAATGGAATCAATGGAAGAGCAGAGGAATGGTAGTGTAAGGAATGGTAGTGTAAGGAATGGTAGTGTTAGGTATTGGAAGGCAATAGAGTGTGTGTTTTGAATGGTGACAAAACGGCAAAAGTGCCTTAACTTAACTATTATTATCAATTGAACAGTGAGTCTCTTATTACCTTTATATGGGGTTTTGATCTCTTCGTATACATTGTGGTCAATAGGACTGACTATAAGGACTATAAGGACTGTAGGATATAATGGGAATTACTAACTATGCCTTTCTATGAGACACAATGTACTCTTAATACGATATGGTTTTGTGTATTTTGTATTCAATGTAATGTACAATAAATATATTGTTGAATATAAGCGACTGATTTGCTATTTAGAAGAATATCTAAAACATGGACAGACCCTCAAATGCCTCAAATGATGGTTTTTGGTGCTCTTTGTGTTCCTATTCTGTTAACATTACAATAGTAACAAAGTTTGCTCTGACTTTTAACCATACAATTCAATGAAAGAATACGTTTTTTACTGTGGATTAGACACGGAGTTATAGTTAGCCCTAACTATAATCATAATAAATATAATGTAATAATAGTATACATTGAATATAATATAATGCATTCAATTGAAGTGCATATAAAACTCACCACTCGATTGACACTCTCGTCAAATAAGTATTGTATTGAATACAGAATACACTTAACTTCGGGTGCATATTGTGTTCAATAATCATATTCTTAAATATAATGTAAATTATATTATTATCAACTCTTATTAGTTATAATACTTTTGTTAACCGTTTAGAAATATTTTTACAAATATTATTCATAACAGTTCCATACAATATGTCTTTTATTGAAACACAATACAAATTATGTGAACAATTAAATACTTTGTATTCCAACAACTATTCATAAACGCTTTTAAACAAATACTTGTTATTGTTTTTTATCAATGAATTTTACAAATAAATTCTTTAAATACTTTTTAATGTGTTTACATTTTATTTATTGTACTTTTTGTGGTATTTGTATTTATCTGCCATTGATTTCATTACAAACAAAACGACTCTCACTTTTAAATTAGATTTTAATTTGAATTTTACTTATAATCATTAAATACTCTGATTGTATTGGGTTTCAAATAGTATGCTATTCTGTAAAGATATGTATATTTTAATAGTCATATTAATTGGCATTTTGTGAGTGCATTAACTTTGAGTATGTATTCAATTGTATAGAATTGGATAATCAGCTGAAATACAGTGGAGTCGTATAGATATAGATATAGTGATGCAGAGGTTTAGATCAAATATACCTTCTGGTGAGGTGTATGTGCTGGATATGTATGATATGTTGGATATGTTGATGCATTGGATGTGCTGTGAATGATTATATGGACAGTTGCCACAGAGAGGTAAGTTGGCATATGTTGGCAATTCTGGTTTTTTGTGGAACTGTATTCTGCGTTCAAAACCAGCTTTACTGAGAGAGCCTCAGGGAATGCATTGCGATTGTGATGCGAGTGGAGTAGGAGGTGCCCGAAGAGTGGATGCCAGCACTGGGAGCACAGAGCGAGCGCTGTGTCGACCCCCACAACCATCACGTCAGCGCCTGTGCCGGCGAATGGCACTGCGTTTAGACCGGGATGTATGCGATTGGCTGCTGGGGTCGGGATGTGGAGCTCTGGCAATCAATAATGGTTTAGTTTGGCCTCAAGTTTGCCAGTACTCTCACAAGTGCTTCTCCACGACAGACGCATCTGTACTGTATTTCTCAGTCCTATTCTTATGTGTACTGAAAATCTCAACGCTATTCAAGTCTATTGAACAGCGCTTTTGTAACCATAGTGTCTGTCATTGTGTGACACAAACCCTTCAGTCCTTCAGACCTTCAGTGCATTACTACATCAATACCATCGATGCAATCAATGCTAACTGTGGGCGAGACAGCGCTCCCTGGTTTCCGTCGACGTCCGATCCAGTGATCATCTGAACACTAATTGTCACCACAATTATCTGTTCGCCACTCCATTCACTTTGGTTCGCATCCCAAAAACTATCCCATACTTAACGCACCGATACTTATAAGTTATAACTTATACATCAAAGTTGGAGCAAAACTTTGGCTAACTTTTGGCTAACTTTGCCTAACTTTGCCTAACTTTGCCTAACTTTGCCTAACTTTTGCCTAACTTTTGGCTAACTGTAAGAATCAGTTGTGAGACCCGATCGCAAGTAAAACATTGATCGCCACAGTTATCAGTGTTTGTGTAGTCTGTGCAGCACTGGTGGCAGTGCAGTGTTATCGCCGACCTATTCATCACCACCGAGTCCTAGTCCCACAGCCAACACGACGGCCCTATACCACCCCACAGCGGCTGCCGCCCAGATGGCCGGCTTAGACCGCGACTACCCCTCCCCTTACGCACCGTTCAGTCTGATGACACCGACGGCCACCCATCACGCCATGGAACACGATCTCAAAGCATCGGCTTTTGGCCATCACCACCACCACCATCACCACCACACACCACAAACACCACTGTCAGTCATGACACCCCCGACCCCCACATCCACACCCACCTCCCAATCGCACCATCACTCGACTAACTCGAACTCAGGAAACAGCAATCATAGCAACACTGGGCCACAAAACTCACACAATTCCGGCAACAACTCCATCAACAAGAAAGAGATCGATAGAGTCAAGAGACCGATGAATGCATTCATGGTTTGGAGTCGCGGACAACGCAGAAAAGTAAGACCATTTGTCACAACCATTTCTCTCCCATTCCTCTCTATTATCATATTAGCCATTAGTATAGGTATTCTTAGCACTCAATTCAATGTAGGCTTCAGCTCTTGATTCTTATACAGTATTACCTCATTCTGTAAGACTGTATCACAGAGTGTCAAGAATTTGCATGAAAACTGTAGGAATGCAGAGATGATTACGTTTTCATAGACTATGAAATCAGTTTAGAGAAGATTGTGACCATTGAGTAGATGTCTAACAAATGTATTGTTTGATTGCGGGAACAGATGGCTCAGGAGAACCCAAAGATGCATAACTCGGAAATAAGCAAAAGATTGGGCGCTGAATGGAAACTGTTGTCCGAAGTGGAGAAGAGACCCTTCATTGATGAGGCAAAGAGACTGAGAGCTGTGCACATGAAGGAGCACCCGGATTACAAATACAGACCCCGGAGAAAGACCAAGACTTTGATGAAGAAGGAGAAATATCCTTTGGCTGGAAGTTTAGGCGGTATGTCGGCCGACCCAAGCCGATCGTCGGCGGCCGCGGCTGCAGCGGCAGCCGTACAACAGGTCAGCCGCGATATGTATCAGATGAACGGCTATATGCCTAATGGGTACCCAAGTATGGCTATGCACGAGGCGTACCAACAACACGCCGCCGCCAGCTATGGTCAGGCAACTATGGCTGCCAACAGCGGTCTCTACGGCCGGTACGACATGTCACAGATCCATACGCCGATGACCACCGGTTCGATGGCAATGCCATACATGAATGGCTCGTCCAGCTATTCATCGATGCCCGTGTCATCCGCCTACTCGACAATGGGTTCATCGGCCAGTCCTATGTCTGGGACGGGCTCTTCAATAAAGTCCGAGTCCTCTGGCCATAGCGGCAGTTCTCCCAACGCGATGGCGGCCGCCGTGGCTGCGGCCGCCCGAAGAGGTCCCTGTAATTCTGGACATGACTTAAGGGACATGATTAGCATGTATTTACCACCGGGTGATACCGACCCCAACGCTGTGCAAAGTCGGCTACAAATGCAGTCGCACTACGCGTCCACAGGAGAGCCTCCGATGCCGTTATCACATATGTAGGACTTATTGAGATTTAGTGTAATTTTATTCAATATATTCAACATATTTGCAACCAATCAAAGACTCAAACTCTCATCAATTGTACAAATTTTCCATTTCTCAAAGACTTCAAAAGACAATGACTTTAATTCTGTTTGTATTCATTTGTAAGACATGAGAATCAGATGCAACTCATGATACCTACAACAGACACTACTCTAACAGTAATTCTGTACGCTTTGTGTGTATGTTGTGCTCACAATTGTATTATAATATATACATTACATAATATAGACGTGCGCTTAAAACTAAAACCTAATCACATCTCCACAATGTAAGTAAATTACAATCGGATTCAAACTCCTATTTTATGACAATATTTAATCGATTAGAGAAACAGCTGCTAAAGAAAACACAAATTTGTATTTAAATAGCATTATATCACTTGAAGCTCATATACTTGTGACTTCTGGGGCTCAATAATTACCTGAAATCAGCAAAAAAGCAAATTTGTAGATAAAAAAACAAATCAATTCAAGTAATCTCTCAATTATTCCGACTTATAATACAATATATATTTTTTCCTGAACTCAGTTTTTAAGCTAAATCTAAGAAACAATTAAACCGAACGTTTGTTTTATAATTGATATGAGATATAAAACATTAGATTTTTTCATTTCAAATCAAGAGTGTGTGGAAAGGCTATGAAAAGCAATTTCCTTATTAATTTGCGCCACTTTTGCCTCGATTACAGCGATTAGTGTGAGAGCTCTGTCAGGTCTGTGAGGCCCGTCAACTCTGCCAACTCTGTCAGGTCTGTCAGTATTAGTACGAGAACTACATGCAAGACATACAAGACATACATATATGTATTGGTTTTGAGAATTGCATGGCGTGTCGACCCACTAGACCTACAAGAGCTCAAACATAAGACAATTACAGTGATTAGGCCATACGCTTGACTTGTTTTTGTTAAACACTCTGATTCTGCCTCAGCCTTTCAAACACAGGGTCTCATAATTATGTAATAAAAACATTCAATTGTAATATGAATTATGATTAGACAAACACCACAAACACCCCGAACATAACATTACATTATGCGAAATGTGTGTAAAAAGTGAAAACATTATAACCAAAGCTGCGAATAAATTATTGTTATAATACCTCAAAAAGTATTAATTCAAACAACTTTCAAACAAAACAAAAAATCCAAACAATTTTCATTACCAACGCTTACACATAATAGCGTTGATCTTTTGTATTAATATAATGTCATATAATATATTATATTTTAAAACAATAAAATTGAAAACATAACAAAACTGTTGAAAAATTGTACGCTTTTTAAAAAACGGAAGAAATGAAGACTTTTGGTATTTTTCAAATTTCAAACTCAATTTAACTGCGGGTTTGAAAATTATATCCCCATATATTGAAAACTATATGAAAGTACAAATAAATTATAAAAGATTACAATAAAGTAAAAAACATTTCTAATGAGTTCTTAATGAAAGACTTAATGGCAGCTAAAATTGAATAATGAAAACATGATTTAAAAAATTTGTTTTACACACAAACATAACTGTTATAACATCTAATAGAGTGTCAGTACTAATCAGTATTAAAGATAAAAAACATATTGTTTTAAGTTCTACAGAGTATTATACCTAAAATTGTGAGTTATATTAATAAAAACCAATTGATTGACGTGTCAGACGTTAATACAGTGTTAACTTAAATACTAAATTACTACCGATTGCTATCTCTTGTACATATATTACTGTAAACTAATTCCAGCACAACATTATTATTATTATTATTATTAATTATTATTATTATATTAACTTAAATATAGTATTAATTAGAAACGAATTCACTATTGGTTGTAATCGTTTGAGTTTCAAAACAAAAATCATAAATATTATTATTATTATTATCATTATTATTATTGCTATTAATTGCTTATTATTATTAAATATTAAACAAAAATGTTATGTTTTGTCAATTATTTTCTCATTTTTCATTTTCTTAAATATATATATAATTAAAAAATGTTTTCAACCATAAGTTTATAAAGTTATTCTCAAATTGAATTCTTATTTAAGCTCTATGTAAATCGTTACGTAAATATTAAAGTTAAAATATTTGCATAATTATTATATAGTATAGAATAAAATTTTAGCCAAAACTTAATTTTTAGCCTTTAAAAATATTTAGGTTTAATATATTTTTGCCAAATATGATATCTCCGGTATATATTTATAAGATGTTTTTAGTGTTAGGTATGAATAATATTGACGGCAAACGTGAGTGCAAGATGTGGTCAGACAGACAGTGAATATAAAGATTTTTTAAAATTAGATATTTTGCGGAAAATGATAGAAAACTTTTTGTTAATTAAGTTTCAATAGACTGACAGCAAATGTCTTATGCATGACATAGAGGTATAGCGATTAGAGGTCAAGACATCACAGAAGTGGTGATCCACTAGAAGTGTGATGTGTATCGAAGCGGGCATTGGAAGCAAATTTGGTGTAAAAAGCATTTCTAATAACTTTTTAAGTCAATTAGTGTTGGCATACGGTCTATGCAACTGTATGTCCGCTTCGGGTATTGCAGTATTGGTTGGGTTGTCGTCACAAATGATGCACTTATTCATAGGTAGGTTCAGATCTGTCACTCGAAACTAAATAAATATTATGAACGCATAACTATTACTGAGCCGATGGTGTCTTTCCTTCGACTGTGTGTTAGGGTGGAGATGAGGACAGGACAGGGAGGAAGTGGTGATTGTGTTGTATATTGCGTTCGATCGCAGCTCAGGGCTCAGGACTCCGTGAATCCTGCAATCCTGCGAAGCCATGGCTTTAACGCTTAAATCAGTACAGAGTCACTACAGTGTATAGTCTCTCTCTACCTGTGCTTTCTATGCCATAACTAACTCAACAGTCGATTCAATACTAGAAAATCAAAACTGCATTTGGAAGGGAAGAGCGGAAAGGAGTGCGGAAACTGCGAGGAGGACAGGGGTTAGGTTCACAGACACAGGACGTATACTTGGATGCTTACCGGCCTGTGATAGTATGGATGGATTACGTGCAGCAATAGAGCACACCATCCCTACTGCACACACATGACTACAGTATCACTACATAGAGTATGACATCGCATGGATGGCCAGTGAGTACAGTGTCAGTGCTGTGCCAACAATAGACACTCATTTCATTCTAACCACATCTCTCTCTCTCTCTCTCTCTCTACTCTCTATTATACTCTACTGTCGACCAAATCTTTAACATCGTTCACAAAACTGATGAGAAATGCATACCTGAACCAAACCAGTTATCACACGAATCACAATAACAGTATATTCCGACCATTTGGCACAAACGGGAACTATTAGTGTCAATACACCCGAACTTAATACGGAGGCGCCAACGAGCCATCGGGCACCGATCCAGTCAGCTAACTGTCCACCGCAAGCATTGGTCACGATATAGCCGTAATAATAGGCTCCCAGAATAACACCTTGCATAGATTCTGTCCATTCAAAGTCACCCTCCACTTCCTGAGTTTAGATATTTGTATATTTAAAAATAATTTATAAATACTCTAAACGAGTGGATGAGTGCTTACACCAACTGAGTTGTCTAACGATTGTCCAGGTGCTACACATGTGTCATAAGCGTGTGTACTATTACTTCTCTTAACCATTGCAACGATCGTTAGATTTAGATTTGTTCTCATAGTATATGACAATCCATTAGTAAAAGCGCACAAAATGACCACAACATAGCGCACAGGGATTCCTATGAAATCAGTTTCAATTCAATTATTTACTTCATTAAAGGCTTTAAAAATAAATACACATTAAGTGAGTTTGTAGATAATCACTCATAGAAAGTGCTAAATAGTTTTTAAATAATTTATTAAGTGACTATAGCGAGCAAACTCTGAAAAATTACAGATAAGTAGTTATATCATTATAACAAATACCTAATCCGTGTTTTTCACTGTTGTTCACAGCTTTTTTAGCCGAGTCTACCGAATCCGCCTTAGGTTTAGTCATTATTTT